TATACTGTCACTGTGTGTCATCAAAGTCCCAGTCTTTGTGAGCAGCGCTGTGTAACAATGTTAATCGCATTGTTTGCGTTGGCATTCCTTCAATTGATACCTGCGCATTGGAAATCGGGGTAAAGGTGAAATTTTAAAAAAGTTTTAAAAATATACATAATACATAAAACTATAAACATACTATAGTAACAGGAAATATGTTTCTATAGTGTGCTGAAATGCCAAGTCAGTTTGAATAGATTGCAGTTAAATTAGCTATGTTGGCTGCAAAGTTTGACAACACAGTCCAGCCCTCGTAGGTCATTCAAGACGCACGTAATATTGCGTGTAAAAGCTCATACGTATAAAACAAGTATTTTAATACTAGTACTTGATTTATCCACACCAAACACACCAAAACACACGGGCTAAGCAGCAAGAATGAGACAAACTCACCCTGTGTTCTGCAGTCCTGTACTGCCTGTACTGTGTCTGGGAACGGAATGAACTACTGAAGCAATGCGTGTAATATTAAACTCAACACGCACTGAGCAAGCCAAAGACCTCCAGATGAAAACGATGGCTGTGAATCTGACCTTTACTCCAGTCACAGATTCCACCGAGCCATCATTCACTCTACTTCCGGTGGAGTCGTGAACGCGCTACTGTTTTAAAGGAACATACAAAAAATAATGCGATAAAAGATATACTCAGCGAACAACAAAAACATTGGCGAGTGGAAAAGGAAACACACAAATAAGGAATAAGTGACATAAATAAAACAACAAATACTTTATTAATTACTGTATTTGTCTATTCAAGGCCAGGGTCTTCTCCTGTGGTGTAATATAATGCATGATTTCACTTATATAACAAAATATAAGCATAACAAAAAATGTGTTGTTTTATTAGAAGTCATTATAAGCTTGTGATAACGTTGTTTTTATGTACCCTTTACGTTTCAGGTAAGTAAATAAATAAATAAACAATGTTACGGATAAAGAAATGCAACTTCATGATTATACATACATTAGCATAAACAACACGAAGACAAATTTTCGTTCATATAATATATAATGAACAACATTTAGAAAAGGTTCAAATAAAACAAAAATGAGGGGAAATGTGCTGCTTCAGCCTTTTTGCTTTTACATTATTACAAAACACTACAGTATTTCAGAACGTATATAATGGAAAAGAAAGAACATTAAATTAATTTTATGTATATGAAAATTCCTCAATGATAACAATTATTAATGGTTAATATTAAGTAACAATAATTCAAATTATTTAATAATACTATGTTTTTTCTATTTCTGCAAATGAAAACTACACCGAGATCGCTTTCTCATTCTTAGCAGGCTCTGGCTTGGCAGACAAGACGTTAGCAGGCTTTGGTGTAGCAGACGTGATGTGAGCAGACTCTCGTTCTGGTTTAGTGCCGTGTTCCTTCTCCCCGACACCCACAGAGAAAGCAAAACATGAACATGAAACAAAACCCAAACACAAAATTCCACATTACATTCGGTCATTGCTGTTCCTCCTGCTTGCCATCAGAGGGCTCCATCACCATACTGACTAGTCCTTCCTGGACTCCATTTCCCATGATCCCCTTTCCAGGAACTAATTACACTCACACCTGTTGCCCATTACCAAGGGTTCACTCATACACTCACTCAGAGCTAAGTCTAGGGCTGCGTTCCAGTCCATTTTTTTATGCCCTTCACTCGCAAACTTCCCTCTGTCTCGTTTACTCGGATGTACGTCATTGATTGCACGAGTGCCCACTACTGGCGGAACCCTTGGAATGTGCTGAACTGGAACAACCTAAGCACTTGATCACTTAGAATCCGCTATGGAGTTGGTTTATTGTTTACATGTTTCCCCTTACGAATTTGTTTGGTGCAGCATTCTATATGTATATAGATATGCCTGGGCTGTTATAAATGTAAAAAATTTTTTTTTTTAAATCATTCATATATTATAGAGTTGTTTAGGGTGGGGATAAATTAAACGCGATCTGCAATGACGTCATAGTCGTGTTGCATTGTGGTCTATGGAGCGGCCTGAAGTGTGCATATGAAGCAGACTCACTCCCTCGGTCAAAATCGAGGGGTCGAGGGTATGTCCATGTAAACTTCCCTCGTCCACTTGACGAAGTGGAACGCACTTCAAAATGGCGGCAGGGATTCCCCCGAGGGTAAGTGCTTAGGGAAGTTCGCGAGTGCGTGTCTAAAAGTGAACTGGAACGCAGCCTAGGACTAGTTCCAGTTCACTTTTTTTATGCCCTTCACTTGCTAACTTCCCTCCGTCTCGTTTACTCGGATGTATGTCATTGATTACGTTGCATGAGTGCCCACTACTGGCGGATCCCTTGGAATGGGCTGAATTGGAACGTTTACATTTATAACAGCCCAAGCATATCTATATACATATAGCATGCTGCACCAAACAAATTAGTGCGAGGAAAAATGTAAACAATAAACCAACTCCATAGCGGATTCTAAGTGATCAAGGGCTTAGGATGTTCCGATTCAGCCCATTGCAAGGGTTCCGCCAGTAATGGGCACTCATGCAACGATGTAATCAATGACGTACATCTGAGTAAACGAGATGGAGGGAAGTTTGCGAGTGAAGGGCATAAAAGAATGGACTTGAACGCAGCCCAGTTTTGCCATGGTGACCATTTCTGAGCGGTCTTCCCTTTGCAGGGCCTTGGGCTAACCCAAATATACATTGACTACGCAAATATACAATGCTAATAAACTTTTTATTACCTATGAAAAGCACACTTTCTTTCTCCCAC